GTGCCAGTCTTGTGAGGAACAATTTCCCCCCAATAAGTTAAAACAGTTCTTGTGCAGAGTATAATTTCGGTAATAATCCGTAGTGAAAAAGTATAAAAAAATGGTGATAGCAGCTTTTTGGTTACACAAATGACCATCAATGCTGCATAGCAGTTAAAAGATTAGGATACTTAAATACTGTTCAATCTGTACAAAAGCAAGGGCAAATAAAAATCAAAATAATTTCTGATTTTGAAAGTATTAAAAAGATCAGCTAATGGAAATTGCACAAATAATAAAAATGTGCAAAAAATTATTAGGTGATAATATTTATGCTAAATTCTGTAACTTTATAGTGGAAAAAATGTCATATATCAATTGCCTCCAGGTTAACAATTACATTAAATACGTTGTCCACAATTGTTCTATAGAAACAAGAAATCAACCCAGATTTCTAGTATAACTGCCCTATGAAATGGAAAAAAACGCTTTTATGAAAGTGGAAAAAATGCTTCTATGAAAAAAAAACTAAATTCAAATTAGGTACTAGAGTAGGCCCAGTTGCTTTTGATAAAGAGCCACATATTCTAAGTTTCCCTTTTGTGTCACATATGTCATTTCTTTTTAAAAGAAGATAAACAAACCTTTTGGGATCTTCTTGATTCCGGACCTCAAACTTTACCCTTACTGTGGGAGATATAAATATCTAAAATTTGGTATAAATCCCTAGCAGGATAAGTCCATCAATGTGCTGAATTATATCATCCAATTAGATTGTAATTTACTCAAAGTAACCCCATAAGCATGAGCACTGGTCTCAAGACTTTTTTTTTTCCCAGTACTGTCGTAACTTTGAACAGTTGTCAACAAAATTATTATAAGCGGAGGAAAATGAAAATTGGCTTTACTTTGTTGATGTTGGTTTCTCATTAGAATAGAATAGAATAGAATAGAATAGAATAGAATAGAATAGAATAACAGAGTTGGAAGGGACCTTGGAGGTCTTCTAGTCCAACCCCTTGCCCAGACAGAAAACCCTACACCACTTCAGACAAATGGTTATCCAACATCTTAAAAATTTCCAGTGTTGGAGCATTCACAACTTCACAACTGATTAATTGTTCTGACTGTCAGGAAATTTCTCCTTAGTTCTAGGTTGCTTCTCTCCTTGATGAGTTTCCACCCATTGCTTCTTGTCCTGCCTTCAGGTGCTTTGGAGAATAGCTTGACTCCCTCTTCTTTGGGGCAGCCCCTGAGATATTAAAACACTGCTATCATGTCTCCCCTAGTCCTTCTCTTCATTAAACTAGACATACCCAGTTCCTGCAACCGTTCTTCATATTATTTATTTATCAAATTTATTTGCTGCCCATCGCAAAGTTCGGACAACTCTGAACAGTTTATTTATTTATATATATATATATATTTAAATTTGTATACCGCCCTTCTCCTTTCGGACTCAGGGCGGTGAACAGCCAAAGTAAAAACATTTGTACACAAAAGTTAAAATAATTATTAAAACTAATTAAATGAAATTTGGCCCATAATTTAAAACATACCAATTAAAATCAGTATCAAACATTAAAACCAACATGGAATCAGGCCAGCCCGGCTAGCTGAAAAAAGTAAGTTTTTAGGGCCCGACGAAAAGTCCGGAGGTCTGGGATCACTCGTATCTCTGGAGGTAGATCGTTCCAGAGGGTAGGTGCCACCACAGAGAAGGCTCTCCCCCTGGGGGTTGCCAGCCGACATTGTCTGGCTGACGGCACCCTGAGGAGGCCCTCTCTGTTGGAGCGAACCGGCCGGTGGGAGGCAATTGGTGGCAGAAGGCGGTCCCGTAAGTTCACATTAAGGTACAATAAGCTTTCAGCACAGGGGTGGAATCTACTTACCTTCCCTACAGATTTGGAAGTGCACCCTCTGCACATGCACAAACCCTTCTGAGCATACGCAGAGGGTAAAAAACAGGTTACTTCCTGGTGAAAACCAGAGAGTAATGACGACCAGGCGGAGCCTTGCGCTGCCGTTGCTACCGATTCTCTGAACCACCTGCCCTCGCTACCCGGTAGCATTTCACCCCTGCTTCAGCAATTATAAATATAAAACAAGATTAAAATGAAAGAAATTAAAGCCAACTAAAAAAAACCAAGGGTTTGGATGGGAGAAGTCGAGTACCAACCACCCCCAGCCAACCCTCAAAGTCAATATTCCTAAATTAAGAGTGTCTAGTAATCAACTGGAATTAGTTAAAGGAATGATATAACATTCATTTTTCTCTTTATCTTGTTGACCTATACTCCTACCCAAAAATATTAAGTGCAGCCACTCAGTGGTTGCCACCTCTATTGTAAAACTTGGTTTACCAGCTAAATGTAGCCCTTTGGGGAAACTGAGTCACCGGTTTCTTTGTGCTGAAATACGGACTAGATTATCTGATGTTGTCTTTTTAAGAACAGCTGCTTTACAGGGTGCTTTTTAAAAAGCTTGTCTCAGTACAATATATACGATAACATTCTTATCCTGAGATTACTTCCTCTGTCATTTCCTTGCTTGTATGGGTAGCTGAGCACATGCATTTTAGAACAAACTGAATAGAGCAACCTCCTACACGAAGTCTTGTAATCCATTATAAAACATTAAATTAGCCTGTATAGAGAAAGTGGCTACAACATGGAGAAAATCTAGTCACGGGTCCAGAGGTACTTCACGAGAAGCATACTCCACTCCTCTACTCACTCTATGCCACCAGACTTTAAATTTTAGGCTTGGACAAGCTCTGGAACTGCACCGCCTGCGGTACGATATAAACACAGTACACAAAATTATCTGCTACAACGTCTTACCTGTCAACGATGTCTTCAGCATTCACCCTCAATAATACACGGGCAAACAATCGGTAGAAACTCAAGGTAAACTGCTCCAAACTCGATTGCAGAAAATACGACTTCAGCAACAGAGTGGTCAACGCCTGGAATGCTCTACCTGAGTCCGTTGTTACGTCCTCAAACCCTCATAGCTTCAACCTTAAGCTGTGTACCGTGGACTTCACCCCATTCCTAAGAGGTCCGTAAAAGGGGTGTGCATAAGCGCACCAGCGTGCCTTCCGTCCCTGTCCTACTGTCCCCATTTATTTGTATTCATTTCTTTCGTTCATATCCATGTTTATATTTATACCTGCTATCTTGTACATGTTTGATAAACCAATAAATACAAAATACAAATAATACTTCAAGACAAGTTATTCTATATTTCTGTGCGGTGTAGTGGTTAAGTCAGTGGTGGGTTGTCCCCGGTTCAGACCGGTTCGCAAGAACCGGTAGTAAAACCGGTGGGAGGCTCCGCCCATCAACCCCAACGTCATCAGGAAGCTTCTGTGTATGCGGCCCTGTTGTGAACTGGTAGTAAAGGTAAGTAAAACCCACTCCTGGGTTAGATGCTGGACTGGCTCTGGGGAGACCCAGGTGCAAATTTACCTTCAGCCACATAAGTTCACAGGGTGACTTTGGACGCTCAAGTCAAGCTATTTCCAAAGACTGTGGGGAAAAGATTAAGGAAAAAGATCAAGTAAGATAAAAATCTAATAGAAAAAAACCCTACGGATCCCTCTTTTTAATTTTTAATTCTTGCAAGAAAGAACAAGAATGAAAGGTAACAGCAATGAATAAGGTATGTCAACATTCAGTCATAATTTGCATAGAAGTCTATTTATCAAGAGAAATTAATGATAGCACAATTTGTACATAAATTGGATTTCCAGATCCAATAAAAATGTGATTCATCCGTTTGAAAAGCAAGTATCTGAATTTTATTGGTAACTTTTTCCATAAAAGCAATTGTCCATACCTTTGCATGCCAATTATTCAAAGATAGGTTATCCAGAAATGAACAATTTGGAGCAAATCTCAATCCTGTGGCCAGGAAAGGTACAATAAGGTGTAGAAAAGGGGTGTCAAACTTGTGGTCAAACCCATATTCCGGGAGGCCGATCCACCAATCAGCTGCTTATGCTGAATCAGCTGTTTATGCTGATTCAGCTGCTTATGCTGAATCAGCTCCTTATGCTGATTCAGCTGCTTATGCTGAATCAGGCTGCGATAATGTGGTGAAGGTGACCAGGCTGTTTGCTCTCTGCTGCAAGGACGCTATCCAGATGAATACCGATGGACGCCGGTAGGCAGAGGCAGATTTTTTTGTTTTGTTTTCCTCCCCAAAAACTAATGTGCGTCTTATACTCTGGAGCGTCTTATACTCCAAAAAAATACAGTAGATGGCTAAAGGAGCAATGGTGGCACAGTGGTTAAAATGCAATATTGCAGGCCCATAACCAGTTTGATCCTGACCAGCTCAAGGTTGACTCAGCTTTCCAGCCTTCTGAGATCAGTAAAATGAGGACCCAGATTGTTGGGGGCAATATGCTAACATTTGCAAACAGCTCAGAGAGTGCTGTAAGACACTATGGAGTGATATATAAGTCTAACTCCTATTGCTATTGCTAAACCCGTCACTCTGTCTATCAAGATTTGTCTCCTTCCCCAGCCAAAGCCATCCACATTGAGGGAGTGATTGGTGGCTGCTTTCCTGTTGCCATAGAAACCCATCAATTATTGCACCTTACTAATCTGTTAGGATAGTAGTAGCACTCGCTGCTCTACTCTGCTCAAGGCAGAGTAGAGTCCGCATGTAGTCCTGATAGGTAGGCAAAACAAATTGTGCCACTGCATAAAATAAAGGAACGCACATTCAGCTGTCTGTCTGAATGTGCCCTTATGAATCAAACACGGTTCAATCTTCCAAGCGTAAAGACCAACCAGAGCCCTGGGAAGGAACAACTAAGAACTGCAACTGTTGTTCTCCAGCAAATATTCCTCCACCAACAAGTTGTACCAATCTAATCATACAGGCGATGCTCCCATCATATCCGCTTTAGCCAAACATCCATTACTTAAAAGTCAAGAGAAAACAGCAGAATTTTTACAGAAATACAAAGTTAACAGAGTGGGGCAGATTAGAAAATGAGATACCTTTCTCCTTATTCTTTTTCTCCTCCATTGGTGCCTGAGCCACCCCAGCATCAGAGGTTCACAATTGAATAAGCAACTCTGCGCTCACTGCTAAAAGTTCTTGGAAATAAAGGTTATTCCTTGGAAAACAGGCCTTGTGCAATGGTTGTGCGAAGGTTAGAAGATGAAAAGCTCAAGGGAATTCAAGCCAAGATGAACAGCAATCACAAAACAAAAAAAGACAAATGAGAGGGGGAGAAACTTTTGAGGAAGAGGGGAAAAACCGCTTGTATATCGTGTGACTGTGAGAAAGAGGAAATAGCATGTGGTAGGCAGAGGAAGAATAACTGAAGACGGACATCAGTGGTTTAGCAGTCTAACAACCCAAATGAAAATTTTATGTGATGGCTCAGCATGTAAATATTCTTGGATCTCTTAAAGTGGACATTGAAAAGGTTTTGTCTGGGCTGTAACTGCACTAGAAAACAGCAAAACAGAATATTTTTGACAGGGGTGAGATCCAGCAGGTTCTGACAGGTTCTGGAGAACTGGTAGCAGAAATTTTGAGTAGTTCGGAGAAACGGCAAATACCATCTCTGGCTGGCCCCCGAGTGGGGTGGGAATGGAGATTTTGCAATATCCTTCTCCCAGGAGTGGGGAGAGAATGGATTTTGCAGTATCCTTCCCCTAGAGTGGGGTGGGAATGGAGATTTTGCAGTATCCTTCCCCTGCCACGCCCACCAAGCCACGCCCACCAAGCCACAGCACGCCCACCAAGCGACGGCCACAGAACCAGTAGTAAAAAAATTTGAATTTTACCACTGATTTTTGACCAGGGTGGATAAAAATCAATGATTTTTTTTAAAAAAATCAAAAAAATCAGATTTTTTTTATTTAAATTGGATTTTTTTGATTTTTATCGAATTTATTTTAATAAAAAACTTTTGGGGTAAAAATCTATCGTAAGATAGTTTTCTATTTAAGATACATAAATAATTTAGTTTATTCAGCATGAAATGGATCTTAGTTATGTAGCAGGAGGCTGTATATTCTGCAACACTGGGACTATCGGTGAGTCAACAGTGGGTCAAAGGAGTAGCAGAGATGACAGTTGCTCTTTAAAAATTATAATTTAAATTGAGTTGATTTAAATCAAGTCTTTTTACTAGTGATTTAAATCATGATTTAAATTGTGATTTAAATCAACTTGATTTAAATCAAATCCACCCTGTTTTTGACCATTATTTCTTCTTTACTTACTTTGGTGTATTTACGCTATAAATGACAAAGACATTTCAAGGAATAAATGTATATAGAATATTGTCTGTGCTATAAGGAAGGAAAGAAATTTGAGGAGATGGTACCGACAAGTTATTTGTTATAGCTGCTATTAGAATAATAATGCCACCAAGCTATCCTTGGCTTTTCTGATTATGTCAAGAGAGGGAGTACTTGTTAATTTATGTTGGGTAGAGAGAAACCAGGTTTATAACAAGGAGCATGTGAACCTTGTATTAAAAGAATGACAAACTGCAGTAGCTATCCGCTGTGGGATCCAGTTCAAAGTTATGTTAAGCATTTTTGAGATCAGAATATCTGAAGATTCTCCCTCCCTTCTCATTGAAACATACTCACTTAACTAAAATCACCTGAGGTCCTTGTGTGCAACCCAGGTTCACAACGTCCCGATATAGTCAGTTGGCGCCATCACTGACTATTGGGGGCAAGTCGTTGGCCCCCACGGATGGGGTTCGCAACTCCTGGACTCACGGCTGTCTTTAGAAAAGCATATGACGACCGTGGCCAGGAGGACTTTTTATCAGGTTCGCCTCATTCGCCAGTTGCGTCCCTTTCTGGATCGGGACTCGTTACGCACGGTCACTCACGCCCTTGTCACCTCACGCCTGGACTACTGCAATGCTCTCTACATGGGGCTCCCCTTGAGGAACACCCGGAGGCTCCAACTGGTCCAGAATGCGGCTGCGCGGGTGGTGATGGGAGCGACGTGGCGCTCCCATGTGACCCCCCTCCTGGGCGAGCTGCACTGGCTCCCAGTGGTCTTCCGGGTGCGCTTCAAGGTTTTGGTTACCACCTTTAGAGTGCTCCATGGCTTAGGACCAGGGTACTTACGAGACCGCCTTCTGCTACCAGTAGCTTCTCACCGACCAGTTTGCTCCCATAGAGAGGGGCTCCTCAGGATGCCGTCGGCCAAACAATGTCGACTGGCGGCCCCCAGGGGGAGAGCCTTCTCTGTGGGGGCACCTGCCATCTGGAATGAGCTCCCCCCGGAGATACGGAGGATCCAAGATTTATGCACTTTCCTCCGCGCCCTAAAAACTTTTTTATTCCAACAGGCTGGTCTGGCCTAACTCTCCCTTTTAAATTGGGTTTTAAATGTTTTACATAAATTGGATGTTTTTAAATTTGTTTTTGAGCCCAAATTATTTAATCTATTTTTAATAGCTTTTAACTTTTGTATGTTATTTGTATTTTTATCTTGGCTGTTCATCGCCCTGAGTCCCTTGGGATTAGGGCGGTATATAAATATGATAAAATAAAATAAATAAATAAAATAACAAGAACTCTTAATTTGGAACTGGAGATGTCCTGATGTTCCACAGCTTTCTTCAGACAGAATCTCACCTCCCTTTTTATTAATGTATATGCCTAAACATCCTCACCTAAGGAAGTCTTTTCAAATTTGCATGGCTTAAGCTCCTGAAATTAAACCTGCTGCACCAAATCACCTTAACTCTTAGGGCAGAGGTGTCAAACCCAAGGCCCGGGGGTTGGATCCGGCCTGCAAGTTACTTAGATCTGGCCCACGGGGCTACTCTGGAAATAGTGAAGGACCGGCCCACGGTGGTTCTGCCAATGAAAACAGGTTCCTGAGCAACATTTTCGGCTGCCACAGCCTCCTGCAACCCTCTGCCAGAGAAAACGGAACCCCTCTCGAGCTCCGTTTTCATTGGCAGAGGATTGCAGGAGGCCGTGGAAGCCGAAAATGGAGCTCAGGAGTCAGTTTTCACTGGCAGAGCGCTCGGGCCACCACAGGCGCCCCTGACACGAGTGACATCAAGCTGGCCACGCCCACCCCGGCCCCCCGAGGTCCAACACAACCCTGGTGTGGCCCTCAATGAAATTGAGTTTGATACCCCTGTCTTAGGGGATATTACTTGTTTTCCTCAATACCTTTTTTTCATTTGGTACATTTCTGCATTTCGATTTCACTTGCGCTTGGTTTATTAGTGCTAGCCGTGGCATTTTGAAAGGAAAGATACGATACAATTTTCAATTTCTAAAAAAATCAAACTTGGAAAAAGGGGAAGAATGGAAGGAATTTAAATTATGGAAAAATCACAAAAAAAAAATGGCCACAAGGAAATAGAATGGGCAGGCTGTTTGTTAGAAACAAAGGCATTCTAATGTTGAATGGAAATAAATCACCACTTCTTTATTATGAGTTTGTTTATGGAACTTTGTTCATAAACAAAACAAGGAGCACCAAATTAATAGCAAGATTCCAGCAGATGTTGCAAAGTGATCATTTAATACTATTTTAAATGTTCAAATGTTTAAGAAATTCAGTTGTAAACATGAATATGTAAAAATCTGTAAAAAAAAAACAACAATCTGCACTAAGCCAACATAATACTGTGCTAAGCATGAACAGAGGAGGCATCCCCACTTCTCCCCTTCAAACCCTTGTATTTTAGTTTGCTTTAATTTTTGTAATTTAAATCAGTTTTATATTTATAATTGTTGGATGCTTGTGTGTTTAACCTTGGTGTAAGCCTGCCAGAGTTACCTTGAACCATGAGATGGGCAGCAAATAAATTTGATAAAATAAAATATCTGAAAACATGCCTTTCGGTTATTACTGCATTGTACTTTGAATATCTACAAAAATAATTTAGTCTTGTCCCTGTCTCACTCTCCCCCGAAGTTCCTACAACTTCAACCCCCTCAATCATTTCATCTCTTGTTAGTAAGAATTAAATCCAGTACAGCTGACTCTCTAGATCCCATCTCTACCTTTTGGATGACAAAAGTTGTCAGCTAGGTTGGTCAGGAATCAGTTTGATCTCCCACTTGATGCAAAGTTTGTTTCTCAGTTTCTATTGTGGTGTGCTTCCTACATATATTAGTTAAATGATTAGCAAAAAGTTCATCTATTTTTACTGCTTGGTTGGGTGCAGAGGTGGGTTTCAGCAGGTTCTGACCAGTTCTGGAGAACTGGTAGCGGAAATTTTGAGTAGTTCAGAGAACTGGTAGTAAAAATTCTGACTGGCCCCGGCCCCGGCCCCATCTATTCTCTGCCTCCCAAGTCCCAGCTGATCGGGAGGAAATGGGGATTTTGCAGTAACCTTCCCCTGCCACGCCCACCAAGCCACACCCACCACACCCACCAAGCCACACCCACAGAACCGGTAGTAAACTTTTTTGAAACCCACAACTGGTTGGGTGGCCTGTAGTATACACCTATGGCCGTCATGGCGAACCTGTGGCACGCATAGCCATATCAGTGGGCACGCCAGCTCAGCTCTGGGGAGCATGCGCGCGCCGGCCAGCTGATTTTCGGGCCTTCTAGGCCCACCAGGAGTAGGGAAACAGGCTGTTTCCTGCCTCCGGAGGGGATGGGGGAGATGGGGAAGGCCCGTTTTTCTTTTTTACCTGGCTCCAGACGCTCTCTACGCATCTAGGAAGGGCAAAAACAGCCTTTCCCGCTCCCTCGGAGGCCCTCCAAAGGCCTGAAAGGGCCCATTCTCCAACTCCCGGTGGGACAGGAAGTGACTTTTTTGCTGTCCCCAGCCTCCAGAGCCTTCCACCGGGAGTTGGGAAATGAGCCCTTTCAGGCCTCCGAGGGAGTGGGAAAGGCTGTTTTCGCCCTTCCCAGATGCATAGAGAGGGTCTGGTGCCAGGAAAGAAAGAAAAACGTGTCTACCTGGTCATCACGTGCCAGGAGCAGGAGGGGAGGGGGGTTGCACACACATGCGCAGGGCAGGGCGCATAGAATTATGGGTGTGGGCACCCGCACGCAGCCTCCCTTGCCCCCCCCTCCTGGCACGCAATGGCAAAAAGGTTAGCTATCACTGACCTATGG